CCTCCCAGGGCCGCAGCCCTCCAGCACTGGCCCAGGGAGGCGGTGGGGGGGCCACTTCTGGCCTCCCACGGGCCGCAGCGCTCCGGCGGCGGCCCGGGGAGGTGGCCGGGGGTCCCTTCTGGCCTCCCAGGGCCGCAGCCCTCTGGCACTGGCCCGGGGAGGCAGTCGGGGGCCTCTTCTGGCCTCCCATGGGCCGCAGCGCTTCAGCAGTGGCCCGGGGAGGTGGTGGTGGGCCCTCTTCTGGCCTCCCACGGGCCGCAGCACTCCGGCGCTGGCTCGGGGAGGCAGCAGGGGGCCACAGCGTGGGGAGCTGGGGGTGGGGCTTGCTGCTGCCACCTCTGGCACCTGGGCTCCCGGAGCAGCGCTCCAGTGCGCTCCGGCCCCAAAAGACCCCTGTATTTAACCATCCACAAATTGAAAGCACACAGAGTTTTCTTGTAGTTCTCTCCATTACTTCTCCATTCTTCATGTTGTGTATGTATCACCTGCATAGATCAGAAACTTCTTGAGCTAGCCTTTAGGTGCAAACCCCATAAACTCCAAGTTCTGTGTGCTGATATTTGGATACAGGTCAGCCATTTTTATCAGTTGTGTAATGATTTCAAATATTTGAAGTAACTGACGTAAATCCACAATTCACAAAAGCTGTGTTGTACTTATGATCCCTGTTACCAGGATGCCTGTTATGATGACAGGCAGGGGTCATTTCCTGCAGGAGCACAGAGGAGTGGAGCTCCAGCAGTAAAGAGCCCAAGGGCGGGCACATGCAACAAGCCCCACCCCCTGCTCCAAGCAGCCCTCAGTCAGAGCAAGAAGCAACCAGGTAAGTTGCAGAGCTCCCCCCAGCCCTCCGGCCAAAAACAATCCAGTGGCACCTTTAAGGCCAAGTTTTATTCAGGTACAAGCTCTCCCTCCTCTGCGAGGACAGATCTGCACGTTCCCCCCCCCCCCAATAGCTAGCAATCCAAAACAGTCCAGTGGAGCCTGAGCGGTGGGTGTTGCCTTTTGACACACTTCCGGTGATGTCAGGGGGTGTGGCATATGCAAATAAGTTATACTAATGAGTTATGGTAATGAGCTCCAGCACCTCTTTTTCTATGAAATGACCCCTGTAGCTGCCTTACAGTCTTGTTAATGTGACAATCCCGCTGGTTTTTTTTTTTTTGCTATTTTGGCGGGGTTGCTTGCTATAATCATCGATAGAGCTCAGCTTTCCCTTCTAAAGCTGGCCTTCCCCGCCCCCTTTATTCAATATTTCTCAATGTAATTGTGTGTTATGACACTGCCTTGCTCCCTCTCCCTCCCCTGCTCCATTAATCAAAGTACATTAAAATTAACTTCAATTTAATTTAAATTGAATTTAATTAGGGTCCCAAATTCCTGGCTACAGGCCTGCTCCTGAGTCCTGACCAATGTTCCCTCTAAGCTGTGGAGTCTTGTGAGCAAAAATTCTACTTGGTGAGCTACTGGCATTAAAGTTGTGAGCGCAGTTTGGCTGCTGCATACATTAGTCTGCTCTGGAGCCATCCCTTCCTGAGCCGAGACAAAAATGTGTGTGCCGGAGGCTAAAAAACTGTGAGCTAGCTCACACTAACTCAGCTTAGAGGGAACACTGGTCCTGACTCTGGGATTCAGAGGCTTAATGCCTCTGAATGTGGTGGTTCGTCTCAGTCACTATGGCTAGTACCCATTATCTTCCATGAATTTATCTATTCCAGGGGTGTAAAACATGTGGCCCGGGCGTCGAATCAGGCCCCCGGAGGGCTTCCGTCAGGCCCACACTGGAACTGGCCATCTCCTCCTTCCAGTTCTGCTGCTGCATCATAGCTTGCTTCGCCACACTCTCTTAATCACTCAGCCATTTCACGTTTTAACCTGGGCCCTAGATTCAGAACTCTGAGCATGAGAATTCTGTGGTGAATGTCAATAAAGTAGGGTTGCAGTTTACAGAGCTAATGTTTTAACCATGTTTTTATTTTAAGTTAAAAAATATATCTTTGTGTTTGTGTCCTTTATAAAGTTTATATCTCCGCTAACTGGCATTACATTTTATGACATACATGGCCCGGCCCAACAAGGTTTCATTTATGTCAGATCTGGCCCTCATAACAAATGAGTTTGACACCCCTGATCTATTCCCCTTTTTTATGCGTGTGGCCATCACAATATCCTCTGGCAGCGAGTTCCACATTTAAATCACTCCCTGCGTAAAGTAATATACTGTATAGTATTAGACCAAATTTCTTTCTGAAATGTCCCGATTTCAGTAGGTAAAGCACTTGTGTGATACTTTAATTTACTGTGATATTTAATGTACAAAAAAACTCAACCCTGGATTTCCATGAGGCCCTAAAAGTTATAGTTTGGAGCTGAGCGAGATTAATTATCAAAAGGAAAAAATAGCAACAATATCCTCTGTGCTCAAATGGCATCTTAATATGGTACTCACCAGGCTAGTTTTTGTTTTACACCAAGTTTTCACGAGGCTTTTGTTGCTTGCTGATTTGTCACCCGTAGCAATTGCACTGATCACTGATTTATCAAGCTGTAAGAAAAAACCAAACCAAACAGAAAAGAGAGTTTGATACATTCGTTATAAAGATCTTGCAGTTCATCCACGCCTGTAGCCAGAATTTTTTCGTTTAGGGGGGGCCTTTTAAAAAGTTGAGGGCACTGAAATTCGCTCGTGGCCCCCGTGTGCTGCCCTGCTTCTCTCCCTTTAAATGCTTTGAGGGAGAAGGGGGAAGGCCCCGCATGCCCCTGCACTCCAAGCTGCAAATTTGTGGCTTGCAGTGCAGGCATGCGCCCTCCCCAGCTTCTCCCTCAAAGCATTTAAACTTTAAATGCTTTGCAGGAGAAGCCAGGGGGTGCATGCCTCCCCCGGTTTCTCCCCCCAAATCGTGGGGCCTTGGGAAGAAGTCGGGGGAGGGGGGAGCCCCGGGAGGCTCGTCGTACCTATAGGCCTGAGTTTATCTCTTCGTCACATTCTTGCAACGGGACCCGAAGTGGGATAGCAGAGCAGAGGTGTAGTGTATTCAGATGCTGCCCTGAATGCATGGGGATGAAGTGTGAATCATCCCATAGAGAAGCTATGCTAACCTTCAGACATCGGCTGGGATTCGCGCCGAAAGTATTGTGTCCAATCACATTTGAACTGTCTGTGGTGGGAACGTTTGTGATCGGGCTATTATGCGAATAACCTGATAGGTTGAAACTTGTACAGTAGGTGGGGCTACATTAGCCCGGAATGTTTAAATACCGAGCAGCTGAATGGACAAGCTGTTCGGGCTATGAGGAGTTGTACCGTGTTAGAGAAGTTGATTGTCGAGCTGAATAAACCTGAGTTTTGCTGAAATCACACTCTGACTATTTTGTTAAGTACCGACTTAACAATTGGCGACGAGGATGGGATTCTAGTGCGGGTAGGCAGCCCCGCTGGTCCCAACCCTACGACGGACAACCACGAGCCGCAGCTCGTCGTGGCTGAGCAGCAACAGGCACCACCAGAGCCGGTGGCAGCGATTGCAGCTATGGCCAATAGCCCGAAGTTCGAGTCATTCGAACCAGCGACCGAGGACTGGGACACTTACCTGTTGAGGTTCGGGTTCCACCTCGAGGCAAACAATATCACGACGGAGGAGAAGAAGCGTGCCACTCTCCTGAGCTCTTGTGGTAAGAGCGTGTTTGATATCGCCAAGTCCCTGGTAGCGCCAGTGGTCATAGGAGCTGTGCCGTTCAAAGAGCTGACTGACAAATTGAAGGCACACTTCTCCCCGCAGCCATCCGAGATCGCAAGCCGGCACGCGTTCTACAAAAGGAACCAAGCAGCCAACGAGACCGTGGCCGAGTTCGTAGCGGCTCTACGTAAAACTGCCAGACCGTGCAACTTCACCAATGTAGAGGAGGCCCTATGAGACTGGCTGGTGTGTGGCATGCGGGACGAACGGCTGCAACAGCGCTTGTTCGCAAAAGCAAAATTGACCTGGGCCGACGCATACTCCAAAGCCATCGCGGCGGAGACAGCGGACAAGTCGACCCGTGAGGTGCGTCAGCGTCTGGCTGCAACAGAGCTACGCGTCCACCACCAGGGGTCCGAGGAAGAGTGAGAGAGTGCGTCAGAGGACGTCTGCGCGGTAGCCAGGCCGGCGAAACCGCGGACCCAAGAGAGGACTTCGCCCATTCCTCATTGCACCGGCTGTGGCGGCAAGCACCCCAGAGAGAGCTGTTGGACCAAGGACGTCAACTGCAGGGCATGCGGGAGGCGTGGCCACATTGCTCGCGCCTGCAGAGCGTCTAA